ATATACTAGTATATAGAAATACAGTAAAGAGTGTTAATTAAACAGGTTTTGTTACGGGTATTTGCCTTAATGCCTGCCTCATCAGGGGTCCAGTGTATTCTTGTGGTGGTAAACATGATCTAAAAATTATATCATAATCGCCTTTGATTTTGTCTTTGCTATAAGTTTAATTGGTTTTAGGTAAATATTTCTTTGCATCTTGTGTCTGTTTTCGTTTCGTTTCAGTATTTCACGATGCGTTTTTAGTCCGTTGACTCTCGGATTAAATTTTGTAGCCACAACCAATTTATTGTGGGGTCTCAATTGGTCGTTACTTTTATTTAGAATATCATGTCTGTCTGTTCCTATTATTCCTGTGATAATAGGATCCATTTCTGTATCAGAGAAGCCTCCCTTTGACAATGATTACTTAAAGTCTTGTAGAATAATACTGAGGGCAGTGTCATTGGTATTTCTCACATATCTTTTGTATTTACCTTTAAAGAAACCTTTGAACACTGCAGGATTGTGAGAACTCTCTCTGTGTAAATATTGGAAATTGTAATTGTTTGTTGGTTTCATTTAAGATTTGATACCAAGTTTGTTTGATTCTTGAAATTTTCTTCCTTTATACACTTTTGTGTCTAAAATGTTTACTGAATCAACAGAGATTTCAAGGGCGAATTTTAAGTGCGGATGACACAGATTGCCAAGTTCAAAGAAATCAAGAATATCAGTCTCTCATATCCCGATAGATGTTTAAAAATGATACCTTATTTCTTAACTAAACACCATTTTACGTATCTTTGTACATGCTGCCATAGCCTAAATCTCTTTACACGACATGATCATTTCCCAAGTTACTTGATGTACACATATGAAGTCATCGATGGTAGATTTTAATCAAATTGACAGACACAGCATAAGAGAATAAAAACATTTTATATTTCTTAATATTTCATGTTCCTATTAATTTTCTAGAGTTAAAAACCAATATCAGGAACACTTGTGATCTGAAATTGATGTCATCTCACCTACTATTACATCATGATGAATAACTGATTCAGTCAAGGTAGAGAAATGATTTATTACTGTTGAAGTATAATTGAAATTATTAAAGAAAAAACATACTTAGTGGTGGAGTAGGACCATGAAAATTCAAATTTGATAACTCCTAAGCTTGCTCTATCAAAATCCATGAAAAAACTCAAATTGCGTAAAAATTCTTCTCATGCAATTAAAAACGTCCCATTATGGACTTGAAGGGCTTATCTTAACAATAATTCCTTTCAAAATACAAATTATACTAAGAACAAATACGGATCTCTCCTTTGATGGGTCACACCAACCGTGAACTCTCTGTGATGATTAGGTCAACAGAATAATTTTCCGATATTTTAGCCACATCTCTTTCAATGCTTTTTATATGTCAGTTTTTAATATTTCAAAGTTGTGAGTCTGTGTTTGTTTCTAGAATGAAGATTTATTACTCGTCTAACAAATCATGTCTTGACTGAATCCATTACACTGAATACTTTATCGAAGAACAAACGAAAGGAAACTAATAAAACAAAATGATATATTAAATACTCACTTTTAAATACTCCTATATTGAAACCCTGCCGTAGATAATTGCTTTAGGTTTCATTAGGTTTAGGTTTTATGGGCTTCGTTCCATCATTTACGGCATTAATCAATGTAATGAAATAAACAGATTTGTAATCTGCAGGTTTGTAGCTGAAATATATATATATATAAGTGCAAGATGTTTCTTTTTTAATTATTAACTACAACACTCAACTATGGAAACCATCAACTGAGACCTCACAAATAATAATCGGCATCTTTATGGAAAGCTATAAATGTTTGCGTGAAAAAATAGGAATTCCAAAACAGATGATCAACAACCAGAAGTCACAGACTAAAACAATGTTTGCCGTGTCATTGATAAAAACTTCTCTATATTTAATTGGTCAATTTCTATGTCTGTTACACACAGGATATTCACAATGCTTCGACCCCAAAACTTTGATTATCAGCAATGTTGAGAATTCCTCGGTACCTGGTTTTAAATTTTTGACCAATGCTGACATTGGACTGTGTATGATGGTCTGTCACAAGTTTGAGTTGTGTCGCTCGGTGGATTGGATACGAGAAAAGAAGACATGTAGGCTAAACACAAGATTCGCTACACAAAATATCAGTGATTTAATGACCAGGGGTCGCTCAATTCACGTTGACCGAGAAAATTTTCCAAAGGTATTTTTTTTTCTCAATTTTTCAGATAAAAAACATATTTTATTAAATTTCAAACGATCTACATCAATAATTTTGTTTCTTTTAGCATTTGATTGGCAATTGTCTAAATCCTACCTGTACCGAGGACGCCATCTGTATAAACGGTGAATGTGTACAAGTATTAAAAGGTACCAATTGATTTCCAGAAAAATTTTGCATTAGATGACCCCAAAATATTTGTAGAAATTAATATTACTTTTCTAGAAGTTTATCGACTGTTTAAATCTATGAGCCTTTTGTTTTCTAGATGCATAATAGCTTTAAAAACATTAAACATTTAAATTCTATAGTTCTAGAAACGAATTTGAATGAAAAACGAGAAGATATAAGCTTTTCGTTTCCCTCGTTGCGCAGTGTTTAGAGTGTCTGTTCTAGAGTCACGAAGTAAGGAATTGATCCTTACATCGTAAGTTCGAATCGCAAGGACGTGCAGACCGGTCCTTCGAATGGGACCGTATAAACTGAGGTCCCGTGTCGCAGGAGGTGCTAGAACGAAAAAGATCCTTTCCTGCTCAATGACCCTAAGTGCCGAGTGTAGGACAAAACTTGCAGCTTTCCTCTGGTGTAACGACGAAAAGTGACGCACGTAGAATATTGATCGGGGGTTAAAATTCTATGTAGAAAAATGACCCACTTTTTTGTAGAAATTATGGCCTTGGGTTCATTTTTTTCGTGTGCATTATAGAAAAATGACCCCGTAGAATAATGACCCTTGTCATTTTTCGATAGAAAATCATTCGTTTTGGTAGATCTTTGTTAGGCGAATGCATACGAGTAATATCAAGCAGCCTTATGATATGAAGTGTTCATTTCTGAAGGCTTTTAAGCTTAGATAAATAACAAAATCAAAGTTATACTACACCTACATTGATAATACAAACTGTTTTATCCCCATTAAAAGGAAAACAATATAAATTATAATTTTTATTTTAAAACATTAGAGCAAAGATACGCACATTCCTAGATTTATATTAAACAATTTTTTCAGTAAGTTTACATACTTGTCATTTTAATATTTATAAAAGGTCATTTTCTATAGCTGGTTTCAGAAAAAAAAGCTTTAAAAAGTTTCCATTATTGTAAATCCTTTTGATTTTACTCTGGATGAATAATTTGCAAAAATAAAAAATAAAGTATTATTTGTCAATAGTTTAACGTTTTTGAATGGGCAGCGAAAAGGGCAAAAATTACCATAATGAGAAAACAAACAATTATTTTAATTTCAATGACCATATACTTAACAAATGACATACAATGCATAATCAACAGACCTTTTCGCAGAACAAATATACCTTAAAGCAAAACCAACGACCACGTACGTAATAAACATATATGAGTGTAAAACCTGAGTGCCGAGCATAGAACAAAATTTGCTTCTCTCACCGGCAAGTGGTGACGTCTCCATATGAGTGAAAAATTATCGAGAGGGACGTTAAACAATATACAATCAATCAATCCTTCGCTTTCTCATTTTTCTTTATTTATGTAGCAATATTATGCTAACTCCTGCCTATAGGGCTTACCTTCTCAACTTACTCAATAAAGAAGAGCCTGCATTGAATACAATCAATGTTTAGACCGAGGCAAGCTAAGACAGTTGCATTTATGTTACGGGAAATCCAACAAGCTCGTTTAAAGCCAGCATTTTTGGTATATTTTACGGTTGTTATATAATGACCAAGGTCGTAATTTAGATGACATATTTCATAATCGTATTACCATATTTATCTACGAATTTGAAAGAAAATTCCTATAGCACTAAATAATGCAATTTTGAAATACCCCTGTATATAGTTGTATGGAATATTTTCAACACTATGTTTTGCAAAATCTAAGATTATATCAAAGGTGTCAAGAACGAAAAATTGGTCCTTCAAAAATGATCTAAGTCCAGTGAATATATTTCAGATATTTCTTTTCAGACAAAACACGAGTAGTATTTAGTATAATCTTCAGAATATGAATATTAAAAATATCTTCCCCATTTATACCTTGCTTCCGAAGTAATTTTTTTTCTGAAAATATACTCGGTGAAAATTAAGAAATATACTTAGATTGATTTCATAGACCTGCTTAATGTTCCAGATAAAATATGAAATAGGCTCTGGCACATATTTTAGCATATAATTATTCAATGCCAGAGTTGAGATTCTCAATAATTTTTCTTTGATTGAAGCAATATCACGTCTTGATTCGTTCCTATCTCGATCGATGTGCATTTTGTAAAACAGAATCGCAAATAAATCTGTCATACCTACGGCATGTACATTCTTTAGTTAACTTTTCTAATGACTTTTTTTTTGTTTAAGTATATGACAAAACAACAAAAGTTCAGAAGCGTGTTAAATAAAGACTTTATTATTTTTAATTCTTTTACACGTTAAAAAGAGAAAATATACAAGGACTGCTTAGACATTTTGGAAAGAGACCCAGGCAGGATAGGGCAAGACGGAGTGTATGTTATTTACGCTGACATACGGAGAGAGGTTTATTGTGATATGTCGGCAGATGGAGGAGGATGGACGGTGAGTAGTGTGTTTTATTGTCGATGTTATACATTGCCAACACCAGGAGAGAAGTTTTCTGTTACATGATGACAGATGGAGGGGGTGGACAGTGACATGACGATAGATAAAGGACGATGGACGGTGAGTAGTGTGTTTTATTGTCGATGTTATACATTGCCAACACCAGGAGAGAAGTTTTCTGTTACATGATGACAGATGGAGGGGGTGGACAGTGACATGACGATAGATAAAGGACGATGGACGGTGAGTAGTGTGTTTTATTGTCAATGTTATACACCAAGAACACCAGGAGAGAGGTTTACTGTCACATAACGACAGATGGAGGGGGATAGACGGTGAGTAGTGTGTTTTATTGTCAATGTTATACATTGCCAACACCAGGAGAGAAGTTTTCTGTTACATGATGACAGATGGAGGGGGTGGACAGTGACATGACGATAGATAAAGGACGATGGACGGTGAGTAGTGTGTTTTATTGTCAATGTTATACACAAAGAACACAATGAGAGATTTTAACTCTAACAAAACGACAGATGGAGGGGGATAGACGGTGAGTAGTGTGTACTGTGACAGGTCGACAGATGGAGGAGGGGGGAAGGTGAGTAGTGTGTTTTATTGTCAATGTTATACACTGACAATACCTGGAGAGAAGTCTACTGTGACATGACGACAGATGGAGGAGGATGGACGGTGAGTTGTGTGTTTTTATTGTCAATATTATGCATCGACAAAACCTGGAGAGAGGTCTACTGTGACATGACGACAGATGGAGGGGGATGGGTGGTGAATAGCTTGCTTCATTGTTAATGAACTGAAAATAACTGTTTTTAGAGCACCAGACCGGTGTTTCAGGGGGCCCGGGTTCGAATTCCGGTCTGGTCCGTTGCATTTTTTTCCTCTTCCGTTACAGTAGTTTATCCATTTTTGTATAAATAGCGTTAAATAATGGAAAATACCACCTTCTTATGTTAGTTAGCTGGAATTCTCGTAAAATAACTATTTTAGAAGAAAAAAATCAGATTTGCCTTCAAAGCACCTTATATGTACCAAAGATTATGATGAATTGATCCATGTACATATAATTTTGTTTTGCTCTTGTGTCGATGCGATATTTGTGCAACATTTAAGTACATCATAAATGTCCGTCATGTGATGGAAAAAGTCATGTGACATCATACAATGTAAAAATGCTTTATTATAATACCAGATTAAACTCTTATCACAAGTTAACTGCAAATTCAAACAATGAATACTTATTGAAATAAAAATCTAGCTCATAATAAAATGTATATTTTAACAGGTCGAGACCACTACCTTATATTGAAGGCAATTTCCAACACGTGATGACGTCTTCGTCACACACATTCTCCAATGAAGTGAATGAGTTCTAAAGCATGACAGTCGACTACGTGTTTACGACTCAATGGCGACACGTGTTTTTCGTCGGTTTACTGTACAATATATAACTCGTCACCGGAAAAACTGTAGAGCTTCTTGATCACTTTATAAGACCGAAATTAAAAGATTATATTCAAAAGATATTGCTCCATGCTCACATTTAATATTGGAGTTGTTTTAGGTGATTAATAGTTGCTTCGAATACCGTTCAAACGCTTTGACGTTTGCATGTACATAAAACACTTTCTGATAATATTGAGGGGTTGATTAGATACTGAGTAATAAATGCACACCTTCTCCTGCTGCCGAAAACTGAGGACCTATATACTACCAGCTAAAACTATGTACACGTACATGTATATCACGTGAAAAAAAACCTCAATGTTTTATCGACACGATATATAGCACCTACGTCTCTTTGAACAATGGGTTAGGCCGATGTATTATAAGTTGATATAAGGCTTCATAAAGCTAATTTTGTAAATGTGAGCATAGATATGAAAGTTTATATATCATTTTAGATATTTCTTTCACAAATCTCAAAAAAGAATTGAAAATAAGTTTCCTAGGGACAATTCAAGTTTCTTTTATCTTCAACACAACTGGGTACTTGTAGTAGCCCACAATGCATTGCGGCTCATTCAGCAGTAGGTAAAGTATACAGATAGCTTATTTACATGCAAATTTATTCTGACGTCAGAAAATCTAGTGGTCTCGACCTGTTTAATGCATTTTAAGCCTTCGGACAGCCTTATCATAATTGCGTAGTGTTTTAGATTTTAAATAGTTAACGCATTTTGAATGCAGCTTTTTTTTTGTCATCGAATAGGAATTTGAGAACAATTAATTAATTTTAGATATCCCAATCCCAATGCTAGTTAAAATAACCTTCTTCTGTATGCATGTATTTCCAGTTTCTGATGAATTGAACATAATTCTCTTTAGTTTGATGAAGAAAACAAGAATATGATAAGTTATTTAAAACAGCTTAACGTAAAGCAGATATTCTTCCACTCCAACACTCATCAAACAAACTAATTAATGTAATACTTAATTTTCACTTCTGAGACAAGTACTTATTAATTAATATATGGATGCCGTTTACAGACAATTCAGAAAAGAGACGATGGCGATTTGGATTTTTACAGAACATGGAACGAGTACAAAGAGGGGTTTGGGAATGCCTCTAAAAACTACTGGTTAGGTATGTATAGAGGATATAAATGTTTTCTATTTGGATATGGAAATTATTTCACGAGTGAGACAGGATTTGTTTGATATTTTCAAGAGTGCGGGGCACGAGTAAAAATATAAAAGAAATCCTGTCTCACTCGTGAAATAAATTCCATATCCAAATACAAAACATTGAATTATCTGTTTATTGCGTTTTCGTTGATTTTCCCTTTTCTTCTGTCTTTTTCTAATGTGGCCATAGGCTACCTGATGTCATAGTTGAGCGGTTGAGAGGTCATAGAGATTGAAAACGTTTAAACAAGAATTTCTACTATACATGTTTATTTGGGGGATCTTTGGCAGTTTTATTCCTTGTCAAAAAGGTTTATTTATTTTTAACGGACCAAAGAATATTTTTTACAACATTCTTTGTTACTGGAAGGAAAATCGGGAGTTTTTTCGCTATTTTGATATTTGTCGTACTGTGAAAGGATATCATTTTGATTATTTTTTTTATTTAATGAATATATTACAGTATTTCAATGATAAAATTGTAATAAATGGAACATCTAAACCCCTATGTAAATGCAATCTAAATATATTTCATGTAACAAAAAATATAATAATTATCGTCCAAAGTTCTTTGCGTACAGCCGAGCTTTATGTATAGAAGACTGAAAATAAAACAAAGTTACTGTAGCTTATTAAAACACGAAATGCAACAAACTGACTAGAGCCTATAAAAATACAGAATATTGGGAAAAATTCATAATATTACCAACTTTACGTTTTACGTTACGTTTTACATTTCAACCAATCAACTGCTCCAGGACAATTTTCTACAATTAAGAGGCTCGACACATGGGAAAATTACACAAGCTCCAATAAGAGTAAACTCCTTTATATAGGGAATGATGCAATCCACGCCTTAACAAAGGATAAAGACCAAGAACTCCGAGTTGATCTCCAGAGTTTTAACGAAGAACAGGCCTATGCTGTGTATTCTACATTTTACATCGGAGATGAAGACAGTAAATATAGACTTACAGTATCTGGATACAGCGGAACAGCGGGTGAGTATTATGATCAAGGTATGACAGAGGGTTGAATGTATTGTATAACAAGAGGCCCAGGGGCCACAGCGCTCACCTGAGCACATCAGGCTTGAATTTACTCCACCCCCCCCCCTTCAGGCGTTCATCATTTGAACAAACTTGAATCTACACTACCTGAGGATGATTCCATATAAATATCAAAAATCATAGGTTTGAAGTACTTGAAAAGAAGATTTTAAAAGGTTTCCCTATATATCCCTATGTAAAACTTGGGTCGGCCATTTTGGCCCCACCCTAGCCCCAGGGGTCATGATTTGAACAAACTTGAATTTACACTACCTGAGGATGATTCCACATGAGTTTCATCTTTCCTGGCCCAGTGGTTCTGGAGAAAAAGATTTTTAAAGATTTTTCCTATATATTCCTATGTAAAACTTGGGTCGGCCATTTTGGCCCCACCCTAGCCCCAGGGGTCATGATTTGAACAAACTTGAATCTGCACTACCTGAGGATGATTCCACATGAGTTTCATCTTTCCTGGCCCAGTGGTTCTGGAGAAAAACATTTTTAAAGATTTTTCCTATATATTCCTATGTAAAACTTGGGTCGGCCATTTTGGCCCCACCCTTGCCCCAGGGGTCACGATTTGAACAAACTTGAATCTACACTACCTGAAGATGATTCCACATGAGTTTCATCCTTCCTGTCCAAGTGGTTCTGGAGAAGAAGATTTTTAAAGATTTTTCCTATATATTCCTATGTAAAACTTGGGTCGGCCATTTTGGCCCCACCTTTGCCCCGGGGGGTCATGATTTGAACAAACTTAAATCTGCTCTACCTGAGGATGATTCCACATGAGTTTCATCTTTCCTGGCCCAGTGGTTCTGGAGAAAAAGATTTTTAAAGATTTTTCCTATATATTCTTATGTAAAACTTGGGTCGGCCATTTTGGCCCCACCCTTGCCCCGGGGGTCATGATTTGAACAAACTTGAATCTACACTACCTGAGGATGCCTCCACATAAGTTTCATCTTTCCTGGGCCAGCGGTTCTGGAGAAGAAGATTTTTTTAAAATGCCATAAATTTTTCACAAATTCATAATTATCTCCCCTTGGAAGGGGGCGTGGCCCTTCATTTGAACAAACTTGATTCTTCTTCACCCAAGGATACTTTGTGCCAAGTTTGGTTGAAATTGGCCCAGTGGTTCTTGAGAAGAAGAAGAATATGTGAAAAGTTTACGACAACAACAACGACGACGACGACGACAGACAACGGACAAATTTTGATCAGAAAAGCTCACTTGAGCCTTCGGCTCAGGTGAGCTAATAAAGATAGATGAAGGATGTTAAATGCAGATAGTGCAAAACGTATGTACGTATTGATGCACATAGAGACAGAGGGTATCTATTCTTTTTTTGTCCCCCGCTTGAAAAGTGGGGGATATTAATTTGGGTTTGTCCGTCCGTCCGTCCGTCCGTCCGTCCGTCCGTCCGTCTTTCTGTCTGTCTGTAACGCTTTCGTTTCCACACGATATCTCGAGAACCCTTTGCGCTTTTGCAATGAAATTTAGCATAGCAACTCCCTATGGACTAAAGAAGACCCCTATTGATTTTGAGATCAAAAGGTCAAAGGTCAAGGTCATAAATAAGCAAATTCTGTTTGTTAAAACACTTTCGTTTCCACACGATATGTCTAGAACCATTTGAGCTATTGCAATCAAATTTTACATAACAACTCCCTGTGGCCTAATGAAGACCCCTATTGATTTTGAGGTCAAAAGGTCAAAGTTCAAGGTCGTAAATTTATACATTCTGTCTGTGTGTAACACTATCATTTCCGGGCGATATTTCAAGAAGAGTTTGAGCTTATGCAATGTAATTTTATACCAAAACTCCCTAGAACGTCTCTTGCCCCTCTCAAAGTGCCCCGCCCCGTTTGTTTTATTAGTATTTATAGTATTACATGTCGCTATTTTTAGCGCAGGGGCATGAGGAGAGTTATTGCGTATAAAACAGGTTCTCGGCGGACTTTATGTTCTTATTACATCTATTAGAACTGTTTAATAATGGCTAAATAAATCAAACACCATGGATTGTGTAAAATTTTGAGAATACCGAACATGAATATACACATGTATGTGACTTTAGTTCTGCATATACTTAACACCGGATAAAGCGATTCCGTGGTCTATTGGTTATATCACTCGCTTCACATGCGGGAGATCCCGGGATCGAATCTCGGTCGTACCTGTCTTTTTTTTCTTTTTTTTTAAAATACTTTTTGTCCCCCGCTTGAAAAGTGGGGGATATTAATTTGGGTCTGTCCGTCCGTCCGCCTTTCTGTCTGTCTGTAACGCTTTCGTTTCCACACGATATCTCGAGAACCCTTTGAGCTTTTGCAATGAAATTTAGCATAGCAATTCCCTATGGACTAAAGAAGACCCCTATTGATTTTCAGGTCAAAAGGTCAAAGGTCAAGGTCATAAATAAGCAAATTCTGTCTGTTAAATCACTTTCGTTTCCACACGATATCTCTAGAACTATTTGAGCTTTTGCAATGAAATTTTATATAACAACTCCCTGTGGCCTAATGAAGACCCCTATTGATTTTGAGGTCAAAAGGTCAAAGTTCAAGGTCGTAAATTTATACATTCTGTCTTTGTGTAATACTATTATTTCCGGGCGATATTTCAAGAAGATTTTGAACTTATGCAATGTAATTTTATATCAAAACTCCCTAGGACGTCTCTCGCCCCTCTCAAAGTGCTCCGCCCCGTTTGTTTTATTAGTATTTATAGTATTACATGTCGCTATTTTTAGCGCAAGGGCATGAGGAGAGTTATTGCGTATAAAACAGGTTCTCGGCGGACTTTATGTTCTTATTACATCTATTAGAACTGTTTAAGAAAGGCTAAATAAATCAAACACCATGGATTGTGTAAAATTTTGGGAATACCGAACATGAAAACATGAATATATACATGTATGTGACTTCACTACTGCATATACTTCACGTCATCTATAGCGATTCCGTGGTCAAGTGGTTATGTCTCTCGCTTCAAATGTGAGAGGTCCCGGGATCGAATCTCGGTCGAACCTTTCTTTTTTTTTTTTTTTTACTAAATGATAGTATTCAGCATGTGAAATGAAAAATTTATGAAGTTATAAAATCATCATTACAGTGTGATAAAAATTCCATATAAAAAATCTTCTATACACATAATGAAGAATAAACAATCAAATCTTTATATGCATATTGACATACATGTATTTTATTTGCTTCAGTATACATGTATACATTTAATAATTCTACAAATTCAGTCAGGGGGAGCCGACTTTTTCCCTAAGCGGGGGACACGAATTCTCTGAATTAGCTTGTTTTATTAAATGATAGTATTCAGCATGTGAAATGAAAAATTTATGAGGTTATAAAATCATCATTACAGTGTGATAAATATTCCATATAAAAAGAATCTTCTATACACATAATACAGAATAAGCAATCAAATCTTTATATGCATATTGACATACATGTATTTTATTTGCTTCAGTATACATGTATACATTTAATAACTCTACAAATTCAGTCAGGGGGATCCGACTTTTTCCCTAAGCGGGGGACACGAATTCTCTGAATTAGCTTGTTTAATTAACGAACTTGCATTCTAATTTCCTCAATACATACTAGATACTTAAATCCTTCCCAAGCTATGGGACTTTCAGGCTCACGCAGTATTAGGTGGATGAGAGCTTGTGACCTTTCTGGGATGTTATATTATGATAACCGAAACCCTAATGCAAGTCTTTTCCTATTTTTGGTGCTGTGAATCAATTTAATAAACATAAGTATTTTATGCAAGGACACAACACAGACTTGAACAAGCAATCTCTGAGTGCTTGTTAACATGCCTTGGAGGTAATCCATGCAATCAGATCTTTTTCATTATTATCTTTGATTTTCAATAAATCTAGGATGTCAATGAGCCCAAGATACTACGATATGTTTGCTCACTATTTTTTTTATATAAACAGGAATGAAACCATGACGCTTTCAAATCTCAAGTTTACGTGAAGCTATGTGCCTATTAATAAATAACACTTGATTTTTTTATATGTATTTTTCACATAAAATACTTACTACGACATATCCTAAATTCAATTCTAATTCACTTTAACAAAATAACTTTTTTTTCTAAATTTCTCAGGGATATGTATATCTTCCTCTCAACATTTACAATAATTAGATCGATCCGCCAGTCACCTTAATAAGCCTTTCTCTCAAGATGTTAATTACCAGTTACCAGCCACGACGAGTGTTGAAATTACGAATAGATGCTTTACAGAAAGAGAGATTCTGAGTTTCAAATTAACATAAACACCGTATAAAGATAACATAATATTTATTAGTCAGGTAATTCAATAAGAAATATTAGCTCTGAAGATCTATTTTTAGAATACATACGTGTATACACCAATCATATTCTCAATATTTTTCCATGATGCTAGAAATATCATTGAAATATTTACAGTATCTTAGAAGTGAACAGAGGGTGACTCTTTTTATTGTACGAATTAAATATATATGCCACTTAAGTCTTTTTATTGCATGATATATACAACTTAAGACTTTTTATTGTATTGAATATATTCCATTTAAGATTTTTTATTGTATGATCTATACCACTTAAGACGTTGACAATTATAACTACAGTGGCGGTTATGGTAAATAACTTTTAAATAATCAGCATACTTTAATGTTTCCATACTGTGTTTCAGGTGATAGTTTGGATCGGCACAATGAAAGGAAATTTACAACAAAGGACCAGGACAACGACAGACGTGGTGGTAACTGTGCTGTAGACAGACACGGGGCCTGGTGGTACGACGACTGTTACGACTCAAACCTTAACGGAGAGTATGGACAGTCTGGTGTGTCTGGTTGGATATACCCGGTATGGAGAAAATGGAGAGAAAAAGAAGCATTAAAACAGACTCAGATGATGATCAGACACAAAGACTCAATGTATCTTTTATCCTGAAATATTTATGGAGTTGATAGTCAGGTTTGGTTACAAACAGGAGTTTTATCATCTCTGTATCATTAATTCTGATATATTTCAAATGAAATTAATAGTCAGGTTTGTTACAAGAGTTTAAAATGATTTCCTTCTTTACTCAAAATCATCAATATTTTTAATCAAGGGTATTAAGAATCTACATCTAAATTTCAGAGTAAATTCAGATTAAAAAACTTAAGACCTTTAAAAAGGCAAATGCTTTCATATCTTGCAGTTGTTCCTTTAAATAGTTACATATAACATAGTTAAATAATTACTACGTATAAGTGGAAATTTTAGCAAGACGCAAATTTAGCGATCTGTCATTAAAAACTTGTAATTTATTTTTAGCGAGATGTTATTTTATCCTTTTTAAAATGCACATTAAAGAAGCTATTACAAATAAAACACAATCAATTTTAGCGGTCTTCAATTTTAGCGATCTCGACACCCTCGCTAATACTGCCAAAATTGAATCCTCGCTAAAAATTCTACTTTAACGGTACATTTAATATGTTTGAATTCCAATAGTGATATTATATATTTATCTACTGGCTGTGTGTGGGATATATCTCTAATATTTTTTGATATACGAGGGGTGATCAAAAAGTTCGCGAACTATCTCTATATCTACAAAACCACATGAATGAAATTCGGTACACACTTAGCCATACGTACCACAAGGTCTATAAATAGCAAATGCTGAATAAAGTTTTTCTCCTTGTTTGTGACGTCACAATGTGAAAATGACGTCACTATGTAGGTAACTTGTGACGAAAAATGGTTGTCTCAGTCGAATTCGTTCAACAAATAACTGTATAATTTATTGTATATCTTATCATATAATAATTTGTACAATTTATTAAGATTAATGAGTTCCTATGAATTCAAATATATACATTTGTCGTATCTCTCCATTATATAAACATACAGTGAGAAAATATCTTTAATTCTGTATGAAGTTTGTCAGAGGTCAGAGGTCAATACGTGACCTAATCACACGGCGCAATAATATCTACCGGTACATAAATTATAAAATGACCTGCTCTACTTCACCGTATACAACGGGTAACGCGGGGGAGTCGCTAAAAAGTATGGGGGAGTCGTTTTCAACGTATGGGGGAGTAGATTTTCACCGCTTCGGAGTCAGAGGAGATGTGGGTCACGTCTTTTTTCGGTATATATAAGATGTATTTACAAAAAACAAATATCCCACGGAAGATGGCAATAGTTAAGCTTTATCGTGGTCATTTGTCCGGCTATCATATACGTCTAGTTTTCTCAAACACTTCGAAACTATTTGACAGTTTTCATATTTACGTTGATCGGGTGCTAAAAACATGCATGATTTGCACAATCTACGGCTTGCGTAGGGATTCTCACATTTAAAACAGCGAGTGAAAACGTTTATCTTTTAAATGCAACAACTTAAACTTAACTAGACTTTATAAAAATTGATAATTAAGACATTTTCTCTTTAGACAGTAACGGTTACGTAGGGGGGAGTCGTTAATGGGAAAGCACATCGCAGGGGGAGTCGCAAAATAAAGTCAAATGCATATACTTAAATTGGTGTTGTTTTCATCTCTTTTATACTGCCAATACCTTTTTAGGTCACCTGAGTAAACTCAGGAGACCTATTGCTATCTGTTTTCGTCCGTCGTCGTGCGTTGTCCGTTAACATTTGAACATTTTCAGCTTCTTCTCTGGAACCACTGAACCAAATTAAATCAAATTTGGCACAAAGCATCTATTGGTGAAGGGGAACCGAAATTGTGAATTTCATGGTCCCTGCTCGCCTGGGGCCTGGGGGTGGGGCAAAAACCACTAAAATTAATGCAATCGTCAGAAATCTTCTTCTTTACTCCAGGACATCAAGCAGTCAAACTGTTTGCATGATTGTAATCAACATTGAGTCCTCTACCAAAATTGTGAATTTTATGGCCCCAGGGTCAGGGGTTCTGGTGTTAGGGCGGGGCTAAATAAGTATATAGTGAAAATGCATTATTCAGAGACGTAGCAACAGGAGGGGGGGGGGGGGCCCCCCCCCAACTTTTTTCTCCAACATTATCTTTACTATAGTAAATGTTCATTGAAAGGATTGTTGGCCCCCCACTTATTACCATAGTATAGTTATATGAAGGAAATGTAGTGAAAAAAAATTGGAGGTAAAAGTAACTTGCTTTGGAAAAGTTGGCCACAAGCCCCCCCCCCCCCCCCCCCCCCCCCCCCCCCCCCCCCTTTAAATAGGATTTTCGAGATTGGGCAACTTTTAATTTTTTTCTTTTTTTGTGAATTTGTAAATTTTATGGCCCCAGGGACAGGGGTTCTGGTGTTAGAGTGGGGCTCTATTGATTATATATTGAAAATACATGAATTTTATGAAAATCTTCTTCTTTGCTCCTGGGTTGAAAATAAACTAACTAATTGCATAGTTATGATGTGTAAGAGTGCCTCTACCAAAATTGTGAATTTTATGGCCCCAGGGTCATGGGTTCTGGTGGTAGGGTGGGGTTCTATTGATTATATAATGAAAATACATGAATTCTTTGAAATAATTTCTTTTCTGCTCCTGGGAATTAAATAAACTAAGTATATAGTTATGATGAGCAAGAATACCTCTTCCAAAATTTTGATTTTATGGCCCTAGGGTCAGGGGTTCTAGTGATAGGGTGGGGCTCTATTGATTATATAGTGAAAATACATTAAATCTTTGAAAAATTTCTTCTCTGCTCTTGGGTATTAAGCAGATGAACTACCTATGTAGTTATGATAAGCAAGGACCCTAATCTTCCAGAATTTTAAAATTCAAGGCCCCAGGGTCAGGGGTACCATAGGAGGGGTGTACTTATATCCTGAAACTGGATGAATTGTTTGAGATCTGCTCCATGGTATTAATTAAATATTTTTGAAAAGGAAGGGTGCCTTTTCAAAAATTGTGCAATGTGTGGATCTAGGCCTAAGGGTCAGGGGTTCATGTGTGATAGGGGCATTACTGATTATTGCTGAATATTACTAATTACTTGAAATGCATTTTTTGTTCCCACCCTGCCTATGGGTATTAAGTAAACAAAGTAAGCAACTGCTAAGTGTATTGTTATGATGATCAATGGTACCTCTTTCAAAACGCCATAGTATCTGGCTTAAAATATGAAATAAATTAAATCACTGGAAAGTTGTTTCATAATGCTCAGGTGACCTATAAGGCCCATGGGCCTCTTGTTATTAATTCGTAGATATCTATAAATCTATGTTTGGTTATTTACTTTATAATCTGAAGCTAAGAAGAGATTTTTTTTGGCTTTATCAATCAGCAATTTAGATTACATGAACAATTGGATTATATATCATCGGAGCACATGTGCTTGGGGACTGGACCCCCCCCCCCCCTTCAGTATATAATGTTCGTACATGTATATCACAAAAATTCAATTCAATTCAATTCACGAATTCACGAACCCTCACTTCCAATATGAAAGCCTCTCCATAAAAAAAGAACAACCCGAATAATAATTTGGAAATTTCTTAATAATATCAAACATTTTTTTTTATTATTATTGCAGAATACTTAAATTATAGTAAATATTATTTGCTAATGTGTTTATACAATTTGGTTGTCAAACTGTTGTAACCTCCTTTCACCAACCCATTTTTTTTTTGCTTGTCAAAATTTTTCAGGTGAGTTGTCTGTAATTTTTGTTTGTTATACTTTTAAAAATTGTTACATAAATTTACACCAAAAAGAATAACATTTCTACTGTTTTCATAAGTCAAATAGTCAAATAGGTCAAATAGTCAAATAAATAGCTGTTTGACCGTGGAGCGAGATGTTGGACCTTTTGATGAGATATTGCACCGTTTACGTCAAAGTGTGGGCGGGGTCACTGTCAGAACTTTACGAAATTGACAGTTTTTCAATGCAGTGAGGGTTAACTAAAATTTCATCATGATAATATCATAATAAACCGTAAAATACATTTCAAAACATTTATCGAATGTGTTCTCTAGATCTGGCAAAACGTGTTTTGTCGACCCCTTGAACAAAACTATTTGCCTTCGGCCTAATCGTCTCGTGCAAACAGTTTGGTTCTTGGGTCCGACAAAACGCATGTTGCCATCGAACCCTGTCTATGAATGTACGAGTATAATGCTGGTCGCCTCAGACTGATTCTGGTACAACAACCCGCCATGCTATGTGTTCACGAAACTGCGAAAGGGGAGGGGTAAAGGGGGGTAATATGTTCTGAGGAACTGTATATAGCTGGGGCAAGGTAGGGAGGGTATCATGATAATGAAATGTATACATTGAAGAAATATTTTCGTATTTCTTCTTTTCAAAGTTTTTGGTTAATTAATTTTACATTGACACTTCTCATTTTATTTATCATAGACATACATTTCCAGTGCTTTAGGTAATATGCAATCCAGTCCCTTCTTCAGCATTCATTCTGTACATTTACCTATGTGTATTAACCTCAGATTATCCAAAATATTCTCAATTAACATACTAATTCGTTTGTGTCTGAAGATGTGTTACTATATATGATAAATAAATAATAAATTGTGAGCCTAATCGTGACAATATACCAGTTAAATTTAACCCCCTTTCCAAAGAAAACGTCAAGGGGCGTGAAGACATGTCAGAGATCTGAGATTTTCTAATTTAAAAAAATGGTTGATATTATCAAGAAATTTTTCATATTATAAATCTGGTTGATTTTTTTTTATGGAGAGGCTTTCATATTGGAAGTGAGGGTTCTGAATTCGTGAATTGAATTTTTGTGATATACATGTACGAACATTACATACTGAGGGGGAGGATCCTGTCCCCAAGCACATGTGCTCCGATGATATATAATCCAATTGTTCATGTAATCTAAATTGCTGATTGTTTTCTGGAACTGATAAAGCCACAGAAAAAATCTCTTTTCTTTACTTCAGATTATAAAGTAAATAACCAAACATAGATTTATAGATATGTACGAATAAATAAAAAGGTATTGGCAGTATAAAAGAGATGAAAACAACACCAATTTAAGTATATGCATTTGACTTTATTTTGCGACTC